AACGTCAGCCAGACTGGACAATTTACAAATGTTTGGACTGTAGAAGAAAACGTACTTCAAGTCACCAAAAGCAGAAAACATATGCTCATGCGAAGAAAGCTTCTCGTTGTTCTCCAAGCTGTAAATGCTAACACTGCCATCACAGCATGCCACCGCATATGCCTAAATTGCATGAGTACTAATAATCCAGAGATTTTCACTCGTCACCAATAGATTCAAGCGATGTTTCGGAGAGTTGCTGAAAATTGTATAGTGTTTTCAATGGTTTTATGCGAAGACTTCATTTCATCCACATCCCCAAGTTCAAAAGACATACTTTTGTATGAGATACTGCAATACCAAAAAAATAGAAAAGGAAAAGAACAAGTTCTACCTCCTCATTTGGGTCGATTGCCACGCAAAGAACCTCTCCGTTTGTGTCAATTCTATCGTACTTCTCATGGGTTTTTAAATTTATCTTCTTCACCGTGAAGTCGCTATAACGACAGCTTGTTCAAATGAAGCATTTCCAATTTCCTTAGCGTTGAATGTCGTACATAACACGGGAATTCCGGTTTTTTTATCGAGTGTAAGTTTCTTACCTCCCTCCTGCAACAACATAGTTTTCGCTGGCGTCAACTGCTGTTACTTCCAATGAAAACGTAAACAACTGTCTGCTTGACTCGAGATCACTCAGAGAACACTGTCCAACAATCTTTTTATCAACACCTGTCAAAAGATCAGTTGTTGTCATTCCAACAAATACGTTCTGGCCCTGGAACGAAGATCTTTCCATGGTTGCATGGTATCTACAAAAAGAATAAGTTTTCTTACATGCCATGCGCAAGCACTATGGGTACTGTCGGCGACGCTTTTGATGTCAATACTTTCTCTCTCATTAACGGTCTTCTCATCCCATACGTATACTGCTCCTTCGGTACCACATGTAAGGAACTGCAAAAGACAGCCCTAGTTTTATTGTTTTCATGGAAATTCTGCAATCTTGAAAAGTGTAATCATTCTAATCTTCGGGGACAAGAAATTTTCCAGCAATTTTGCAGTAGAAGAACAAACTGCAAAATTTAGCGCTCTTTGGGTTGCAAGCCAGTAATTCAATAATTAGTATCCCTAGTGTTAAGAATCTGTTCAAAGCATTCCTTGTATTTTAGAAGTATGGACTGTTTATCTTTGAATACTAAAAATAATCTGTAACTATTTCATGCTAAGCGCTCCAAACTCAAAATTTTGAATTTTTCCGTTAGGAATCATTTGGCATGATCGCAAAAATCGTATTTTCTCTACACATTCCTATGGTGAAGTTACCGATATGAACCAGCACCAAATTCGTTTCATCATCTCGGGGTGATCCCATGTATTCACGAGTTTCATGATTTGTATCTTTTT